TTGACACAAAATCTCAACCTCTCTATCCAAAGTCTATTACAGACCTTGAAAAGGGCATTTTGTCATTTCTCACTGAACGCTAATATAGACTCTTAAAACGAATTCAGTCTAATACTCAGAGATCGCCATTTATGCTCAACTGCAGTTAAACTTCAATTGTAGTTCAACTCTTAGAAGAAAACCATCACGGCCAGGGATCTCTATCTGTCAAGCACGGGGTCTGATTAGAACACAGCTGAGCTCTGGATGACGGTCAAGGAATTCTTTGATCTCTTTTTGGTTCGATAGCTGAGTTATTGCTTGGTTTAGTCGTTCGTTCAATTCAAATGCTTTCCTCACAATTTCTTTTGCATCTTCTACTTTTCCAATGCAATCATGAAGAAGAGCCTACCGAGTTTCTGTCAGAATCTTCCACCTGTGATCCTCTTCTAGGCCAGTGTCAGCGAGTTTTTTTGCTTTCGTAGGGATATTGATGGCTTCTTCAAAGTTTCCTTTCCTTTCGAAACAACGTGTATACTGTCTTCGGTTCATTATACTCTCCGTGTGACGGGCGCGGGCGACCCTCAAAGCAGGAACGGTGGAACGGTGGAATGGCGGAATGGCGGAAAACGACCCCAATCCTAAAATCTGGAAAATGACCCCAAATCCTAAAACCCGGAACGGCAGAAAATGACCCAAATCCTAAAACCCGGAACGGCAGAAAATGACCCAAATCCTAAAACCAGGAACGGCGGAAAATGACCCCAAATCCTAAAACCAGGAACGGCGGAAAGTGACCCCAAATCCTTAAACACAGAACGGCGGAAAATGAACTCAAATCCTAGAACACGGCACGGATGACAAGGCATGTTGCACAAATTTTGTACAAGGACAGTCAAGCGCTTGGCTCATTCATTCCCACAACGATAATGTGCGTGACCAAACTTAGACTGGCGTGAGAGGAAGAGAGGTTTGCAGGGGGTCACAAGCGTGGGAAAAAACTTTCTGCACAGAAAAGAGGCTATTTCATTAGTTCGTCTAATTAGCATAGTGAGAGTAGATCCTGTAGGTAGAACCTCGTTAACAAGAACCCGGTGAACTCGAAACCCCCCTTACTCGGACTTACTCGAACAAAACCCAATTTCCCTTGGATTTGACCCCATTTTTTCTAGTCATTTGCTAGCGGCAACTCCTAAAAGACGGAACCGGGTTGGGAAATTACCCTAAAGCCTAAAAGAAGGAATTATAGGCAAGTCAAGGGATCAAGAGAGCCAAATAAAAATCAAGTGTATCCACACTAATTTCCCCTTAGGAGGATAACTTCCGCGGATATTAAGTCAATACCAGAAAAAATTATCATTTCTCGTAGTAATGTGTAATATCATGCTGTGGATGTTCGGTTTGTTTCTCATTCATTGCCTAACAATCAATTCCCAATAAATCAATCGAGGCGTTGTATACGTACGATTTTCACCTTTAATTAACTGCACATTCTAAATCATTACGCCTTTGTAAATTCAGTTAACCTTAAAGAAAACTAAGAAGAGGACAAGCGATACAATATCTGAACTTCTTTGGTCTAAATTATCACTTAATCGTCCGTTAACTAATTTGTCGGCTTTCTTTTGTCTTCTCACGCCATGAGAAATTTCCACGCGCGTGACCCCATGCAAACCTCTCTTGCTCTCACGCTAGTCTAAGTTTGGTCACGCGCGTTATCGTAGTGGGAATGAATGAGCCAAGCGCTTGACTGTCTTTGTACAGAACTTGTGCAACACGCCTTGTCATCCGTTCCGTGTTTTAGGATTTTGGGTCATTTACCAACGTTCCGGGTCTTAGGATTTGGGGTCATTTTCCGCCGTTCCCGGTTTTAGGATTTGGGGTTATTTTCCACCGTTTCAGGTATTGGGATTTGGGGTCATTTTCCGCCATTCCGCCATTCCACCGTTCCTGCTTTTAGGGTCGCCCCCGTGTGACGACCCACACCAAAGTTCACCATCCTAGTCAGTGCAGCTCCGTAATGTTCTAAGCATTTGTCAGTTGCGGCGGGATTTCGTCAGGGAGACTACGTCTGGAATAGAAGTCTTCAATGTATTTATGACGTCAAGTTGAGCATTCAGTCGTGAAATGATTCCCGAGGCAATCTTGGAAAAGGTCCATTACTTCCTGGAGTAGATCCATACCGTTCTCATGCCAACCATAGAATGGCAAGGTGTAGTGCAGGATAATGATAACGAAGCTCCAAAATGTCTCAGTTGGTAAAGTTAAGATACAATCTTCTCAGAATCATCATCTAGTCCTTTCAGCATAATGTAAGGAGATTACGTCCAACAATTGTTGATGCTTACTAGTGGAATGATAACCCTATTATGGATAAGGGAGAATCTTAGGAGAAAACTACTGATGATTCAGAAGGAATTCTCATGTAGTACTTTTCTCAGTCTCAATTACTGTCTTACGCTGAGCTTGAACGATCTATTTATTGGTGTGATTTCTCTTTTTCTCACTATAATTAGTCATGCTCTGTTTTAAACTTTAAACTGTTAGAGTGATCAGCATCTAATTTCTCCTTACAGTAATAATGCTGAATTATTCATTAAAATCATGAGAATAAAGGAAATGATTGCAAACTTGAGAAGCTTTGATTGTCCAACAGATTCTCCTAGTCAGTACCAAAGGAATTGTTTAGAGAAGAGTGTGGAGAATATCAACTTTGATGCTAGTGTAAAGGGTTGATTTATGGAAAAATTTACTTTAAACTAAAGGGCCTCTAACTAGCTTAGTATACTTTGTCCCTCTCAACTTTCTCTCTTTCTAATCATTAGAAAGGTTTGTGATTACTGAAATGGAGGAAAACATAACAAAAAACAAACAAAGTGGTTTACAGTCTCTTCTCTATTGTACATAATTACACTCTTATTTTAAAGCTTTGGTTTAAAATTTGTAGGTGAACCCTCATACTGAAACTACAGTACTGTAATACTAAAGATTTTTAGAACTGAATTTGCACTTCATGAATCTTATATCTACATATGTATTGTACGTTAAATACATTTACTCTTTCTCTAAGTTTATTTGGCCAGGACAATTGAAGAAATTAGATGATCACACTTTTTTCTCTGTATTTGTATAAGAAAAAATTTCATCATCAAATACAAGTAATTGTGTGTATATCAATATAAATAAATATGTTAAAATTGAAAGATGGTCTTTTTTATTGCTTGCTGAATGTAGTTTGTGTGACAGCCAATCCTAATTGTTCTGGGAGTTAATTATTCCTTTGACTTAAATTTGGAAAACGCAATATCCATTTGGTGATAACCACTTAGGAATTAAACGAGTTATGCATAGTTATTCCTCTTTAATGGCTACCCAGAGGTGATGGTTTCCTCAGGTGATGTAGGTCTCACCAGATTGGAGATCACAGGAGATGACAATTGGTTCTTGAAAACCATTATTTAAGAACAAAATGCCTAACTTGCTCAAGGTGATGCATGGTTTTAATTTTTCTCCCAAACTTTGGTATTTGAGATCTATCAATTTCTCTATATTCCCAAAGCTCTGAGTTCTTATAGAGTAATCAAATGAATGAGATGTGAAGGATTTTTTCCAAATATACAATTTTTCACTTTCCCTAGGTAAATTAAGAGTATCAAAATACAAGTCAGGGTTATGTAATGATTGATATTCCAGAGTGAGATCTTTGCTACTGTCACTTGAATTAATTATGCCTTTATGAATGGCATGAATCATTTCTTTGAAGGATTTACTTTTTTGTTGTTCAGCAAGGCAGTTTAATGGTTGAAATGCTTCTTGAAAGTCATCTCTGTCTCTGCTGCTTAAGTTACTTGCACTGTTAGAGCTGGCAACTTTATGTTTCTCTGTTGGATACCTTTCTGGTGTATATCTCTGCTTAATAGAAGTCAAATCAGCCTGCTTTGCTCCTTAATGTTTCAGGATAGATATATTTGTCAAACTTTTGTTGTTCTGGTTTTATATTGAATTGATCATCGAATCATTAATAAGAGTTACTGCAAGCACAAATATTTTTTGACCATGATTGCTAAATTTTTCAGGAGCCACAGTGTCGTTGTCGATTTTAAAATCAGGTACAAAAGTTATAGGCATTGTCAGTTTTATTACAGTGCTGTAACAGGAGATCTTTCTAAACAGCTACTTTGATTCATATTGGGAGGTTATATAGAGATGTTGCAATGGAAGAGAATTGCTTTGATTTTGTAAAGTTAATCAATTTTTACTGGTAATAAGATAAAAGACATTAATAGAGTGAGTACCACAGATACAACATCAAGATTTTTTCTGGAGAGCAATTTGTTTCAATACCCAGTAAAGCAAGTAATTTTTGCCCCATACAATTTCGATGGAACATAGACAGAGTATGGAAGTTTTAAAAAGGTTGTGAAAGTGCCAGGAAACAACCTCTAGTACAGCATGAAGATTAACCCTTTAAGTACTTTAACTCCCAGAAATGATAAACATAAAACTTCTCCCTTGTCCATACATTGTTCAGCAAGCACGTTATGAGAGTTCTCAAACTACTCTATTCAAGTAGATGCTGTTATCTTGATCTATCTCCAAATTCTCATTACTATTTCACGAGGAAATGTGTAGCATCCAGAGGGGAGAATTAATAATCAGATCTTGGGAGTTAAAGATACAAGTCAACACTCTGGCTGTAACTGCAATTTACCAATTAAAAGCCCCCCAAAAAAAAATCACAGGAGCACAAAAATCATTTTAAGAAATAAAGGTCGGGCCACAAGCAAAAACGATAAACACAAGCCAGCAAGCTTTGTAACTGGAATCTTTGGCTCTAACTACTGTAGCAGAATCAGTAACTCAGGGTGTTAAGCAAACGCAACTTTATTCCTTCTCTCATGTACTTATGACCTGCGCACTTCACTCCAGGTGCGCAATGCGTACACACAATATCCCCCTTTCCTAAGAAAGCATAAATGCAAACACAGAGCAGGAAACAACGGTAGTAGTAATAAACCAAGCTAGGNAGGGAGATTTAGACAGGGAATCTTGGTTCTGATGTGACGATTCATCATCAAGGATGCGGGTGAGACCCCAGTGGAGGAATGAGGAGTAGTTCGATAATTCATTAAGAACACAAACAGTTCCGAGCGCCAGTTCTTTCTTTCTACAGTAGCAATTCGAATAGTCTTCTCCAGGGTTTTGTTGAATCGCTCTACTTGGGCATTAGCAGCTGGCCAAAGGGGCGTAATTTTGCGATGCTTGATACCAAGCTGTGTGCACCATGCTTTGAACTCTTCTGAGCCTAAGGGGACGTTGTCAGATGTAATGACTTCAGGAATACCATGTGTTTCGAACATTTGATTAAGGTGCGTAATCGCTGTGGCCGCAGAACCTGAGTGTGTAACATGGACTTCTGGATACTTTGACGTTTCATCAACTACAAAAAAGAGATACTCTCCTGATGGGAATGGGCCACAGTAGACAATGTGAATTGTGTGCCACACTTGCTTTGGTGGATCTGTCATTCTGAGAGGCTCTGGAGGAGGAGCTGGGCCAACGATTTGGCAACCAAGGCATTCGCACACATATCTCTCTGTTTGAGTATCAATGCCAGGCCACCAGACTCGTTGTCTGAGATGCTGTTTAACTTTAGTGATGTCCTGGTGCCCCTCATGTGCTAATTGACGAAAGTGTGGGAGTAACGCTTCTGGAATCACAATACGATTGTTTCGGAGAAGAATACCGCGTTTCTGGCAAAGTTCTTCCTTTAGATCAGCGAAGGGCGCGGGTGCAGCTGACCAGCTCCCAGTGTCCAGGCACTCCTTGATTATCTTCAAGGTGGGGTCAGATTCGGAAGCGACAAGAAGCTCCTGAAGAGTGATGGCAGAAGGAAGGGAATCAACTATAATGGAGTTAACGTAGTCCTCAAGAGGATCTCTGGGTGTATTGGTAGGGACGGGTTTGCGTGAAAGGAAGTCGACAGCATTTTGGATGCCAGGTTGGTAAACAATGCGTGGGCTGTAGTTTTGGAGCCGTAAACGCCAACATTCAATTCTCGGTGAAGGGTTCCCACGACCGTTGAGGAGAACTTCCAGCGGTTTGTGATCTCCTACTAAGTCGAACTGGCTGCCGTGGATGTAAAAATGAAACTTCTCGCATGCCCATACTCCTGATAAGGCTTCTCTTTCCATTTGGCTGTAGCGCTGTTCAACGGGTGATAGACTGCGGCTTGCATACGCAAAGGGCCGGATAGAACCATCGGGGTGCTTCTGAGTCAAGGCGCCACCGATCCCAATCTTGCAAGCATCATGGCGTACTTGAGTGGGGAGGGAGGGATCAAAATGGGGTTGAACCGTGTCACTGGATATGAGGTCACGCAGCTTGTTAAAGGCTTCAGATGCTCTGGGCCTTAAGACCACGGACAGTTTTTGTGTGTGATCCTTCGTATTGGCTCTGTCATAGGTC